TTGAAATAAAGAGGGTCTTATTGCGGGCGCTTTTTCGTGGTTCCTTCTCTTCAATAAGTCAACAATCACAGGGCAATTCTATTTTTGAACTGTATTACCTATGAAGTGTGGTCGCGGGAATTGCCTTTAACTCCAAGTGTATGCGATATTTGAGGGGCAGGGAGTCAGAACACCTGCGGGGACAAAGTTTCGATCATACCAACTGATAGACCGAGTTCATACTTCGCGATCGGATCGCCCGAGCGACTGTATTGCGAGATCCAAACGCTCGAGCGATCCGATCACGAAGTCTTAACGCGGTTGTATGAAAAATCACAACAGAATTGTAGCCTAACATTTGAGGAGTGAGCTAGCAAAGGTTGAATTGTGCTGCCGGAGCATGAATATTAACTAGTAGTAAGTAGAAGAATCACCTCCTTTAGTGTGTTTATTTCGAGTTATCTGAAGCCGAGTTTTGGTTATATCGAGAGGATACGTGACCGTTTCGGCGACAAGAGCAGCAGTACATGACAGAAAATACTTTGTGGCGATCTGTTTCAAAGGAGAGTCGCCCGCATCGGCTGACTGATCAGCCATTAGCTGAAATTCACTTTCATTTAGAATTTATTTGTTACAGTTTAAAAGTACACCGATATGTAAGTTCATATAATACACACATAGGCATAAACCTATAAGTATAATGTAGAAGCAAAGGAGGGAATGCTGAAAGCAGAGATGAATGAGGCACAGGAAAAAGGGCATTACGAACATCAATCTAGCCCCGCTAGCCTGAACAGTAAGCAACTCCCCTGTTACTCCACAACTATCACTTAGAAGCAGGATAAATATGAAAACTATTAGACCAAAACAAGCAGAGAGAGACGGACCTCAATCGCCTTTGGGAAACAGATGGTGACTATTTCAGAATAAGAGAATGTTGACACGCAGCGTGGTTTCAGTCTAGTTCGCGGCGGATGATGGGGCGTGTCAGCGCGGCCGTATTTGGGTCACCGCCAGCCCCTTCTCCACCACTGGAGAGGGTAACAACCGGTAGAAAACGACTGACGCAAAGATATCGTTTCTTTCTTGCTTGTCGAAAAAAAGAACAAAAAGACGGGTTGGTGCTGCGTCAAACCGACCGCGCGTACCCGCTTTACACAGCGAACGAGAAACGTTTCCGTTGAACAGCAGGGTATGCTATCACGCTAAGATTCTGCTTCAGGCTGATAGGAGTAGCGAGCAAAGAGGGCTCAGTTTGAACGGTTCGCAGAGGGCTTAATGCTTTCAAAACAGAAGACGAAAACTGCAACTCATACTTTTGGCGCATGGGCGCTCATAAAC